TATATAATCTGAAACAACGGGACTAAAAAAAGTTTGGAAGAGCACAATAATTTGAAATTGAAGTGGATCACAAAGAGGAAATAGGAACTAAAATAAAAGGTTTCTTGGACACTGGTAAATGGTAACCTTTACTGAATATCTTTGTTCAAACAAGTTTTATAGATTCTCCTTTACAATGTCCTTTATTACTTCTGTCTTTAAAAAGTAGGTTTATGGAGCACCATGATTCAATCATTTTAATTTAGTTTTTGAGAAACTAACAAGCTTGACATTATTTTATTCATAAGGAAATTAAATGTAAAGTAATAATAATAAAGTCCTGGAGCTAAAAGCAAAGTTGGAATTGACAAGGCCTGTGGTTGGATGAACATAGATTTTAGCCAACAATAGTTGGCTCAAATTCTAACTCTGCTCCTTGTCAATTGCCCAACATTTGTCAAGTTCTTATACTCTCTGTGCCTTGTTTCCTAACCTATATAATGGAGTCACCAATTCCTCTCTAAATAATTGTAGCGAATATTAGAAATGGCACATGTGAAAGGTCCAATGGAGTGTCTGGCACATAGTTGGTATTTATTTATTTATTCATTCATTCATTCACTATTCTTACAAGACTGGCACATTTTATGGCAGAAATGGGATGTGAACCCAAGTTTGACTTGTTCCAGGAGACTCTTAAATCTTTAATTGATCCCTATACTACATGCTTTATTGTATCTGAGGCATCAGATATTTAACCTACATTTTATGTCTTTACTTGCCTAGCTCTCTTCCCTAACAATATTGGTTAGAGTAATTTTGTTTGCTCCGCTACTTCCTTGTGCCTTGATTGTGTTACTAATTTTCTCAGAAAAGCAACATGTTTAAAACTCTTCACAAATGGTAATCTGGCTAACTACTTCTAAAATTCATCTGCTACTATCTGCAGTCCCAACTTGGAAGATCAACTGTTTATCCTACCATAACTTTGACTCATTATTTCACTTGCCTCTAAATGATGATCTCTTTGCCTCTTCATAGCTTCCCCCCCCCCCGTGGGGTAGGGAGTTGGGGACAGGGTCTTGCTGTGTTACACCTTTTTATCCATTCTTCAAGATGTGGGAAGTCGTTTGTCTACTTTCCAAAATGACATGTTGAAACAGCTCCCCTGAATCTTTGAACGTTGAGTACAATGTTTTTCTTCTGCTCATATGGCATTTACGTAGAACTTCAAAATGTAGACATCTGTATTCTTAACTCATTCTCTCTAGCTAGACAGGGTTTCTGGAAAGCAGGAAAATTATTTACTTCTAAGCAGCAGCTCCAGTTAGCACATAAAACCTTATATAAGGATGGTACTTTGTAAATATTAATAGAACATAAACTAAAAGCTTGAAGATTTTTTGACCCTTGTGTTGCTAGACCTGCTTCTTACTCTATTTTAGTATTCCAAATAGTTTATATAAATTTATAATTCAAATAAAATTAACTGTCCAGATAATGACCAAAGGAAAGAAACTGATGAATAAAATATTTTAACTTTCAGAAAACAATGACAGCATTATTCATATTTCTCACCAGCCAAGACAGATTCAGCAATGCAATTAATGGGTATTGAAGACAGTTTGGATTCTTGGTGAGACATTGCATAATACCTCACAGTGACTCAAAGTCACCACAGTGCAGTGGTTAAAGCATTTTGCACTTGGAATCCAAGGCAATTTAAAAGGATTATTGATTTTTCCCTGTACTTATAAATGAGACTCACAGATTAGAAGTGAGAGCTACAGACACAACATAATGACCTTTCTACTTGACTTTTTTCCCCCTAAATAAACAGAATCACCTTTGTTGGTTAAGAGGACATCAAGGAGTCAATCGTGTGTGTGTGTGTGTGTGTGTGTGTGACTGCCTGTACCTTGAGAGACAAAATGAGCAGCTACATTTAAAATTTCAAATTTTTCAGTGCTACTGATTTTGCCCTGGAAATCTCAACACCTAATGGTATGTGTTCTCATCATGCTCTGCTGTTACAAAGTCCAGTGGTAACTTCATGCCTCAGCACTAACGTACAACTTCAACTTGAAACGATCACTTGACTGAGACCTTGTTAGGTGTTATTTTAGATATGTCTTAAAATATGCTTTCTATCACTTCATCATAAGGAGAAAGACCCTTAATTATGAAATGGTGAGGAAGCCCATATTAGAACTGTCCCCAAACAAAAGCTATGAGGTTAATAAAGTCATTAAAATTAGATTTTGCTTTATACCTGTCGGATTTCAACTCCATGGTTTAATTAGGGACTTTCTGGAGACAAGTTGAGGCTTGATAGATTTCTTGCTCTCTGGTACTGGTTCGTTTCTCAGGAATTTTAAATAACTACATTTTCTTAACTATTAACTCTTTTAGGGTCTACTCTTTGAATCGTTTTTATGTGTGTCTCAGGACTTTTCTTTCTTTATAGAATATTTGGCCTGTTATCTATTATTGTATTTAATGCTAGAAAGTAACATGCTGCTGTGCATGCATCCACAACTACTTCACTGCAAGCAACAGGGACCTTTTTACAACTGGAAAGGTACCAGGTAGATACAACCTATTACCCCACTGAACCAGAGTTTTGAAATGAAACTCTGTTCACTGCTTCTGTTGGCGAGTGGTGTCTACACAAGCTGCAGGCCTTTGCAGCAGGGAAGCGTTGCAGCTCTTAATGGCAAATCATGCCATCTAGGATTGCAGCAGACCCCAGCAGCTCACTGTGGATTTCTCCTTTCTGAGTTCTTGTCTTGTAAATTGGAAGAATGAACTCCACAGGCCAGGATATGTGAGTGTTAACACTAGAATTTATTGAAGAACAAAACATAACTCTCACAGTGCAAGTGGGAACCTGATAAGCAGGTTTTCTCTAATCAAGTGTCCTAGTCTAGGGTTTTATATTTCATTTGGTTCACTGGTATTGGTCCAAACTTATGCTAATCAGGGTTTGGAAACATACTACTGCTATTGGTCAATTCTTGAGTCCCAACTTTCATTCAAGTCTGCCACACTTCCATTTTCTTCTGGCAGACCAGGAAGCAGGAGATTGAGGTCACCTGACCAGGCTGAAGTGCACTTCTGCAATGAGCATCTCCATTCGGTGCATGTGGCCGCTTGCCTAAGAAATGGGTTGGATTGCCCTGGCTCACTGTTGTCCCACTGTGCTTCAGCCCTGCCACACCTGCATGGCAGGCTCCACGTGGCCATGGGCCATGCTTGCCAACCCAGTGCTCACCACCCCATTCCCCACTGTCATTCCACCACTCATTTCTCAGCAGGGACCAGTAGGTTGGCTTGTAGCTGCTACAGCAGGGCCTATATTACCACCACCACCACCACCACACACACACACACACACACACACAAACAAACACTCTGGCAATTGGTATTCTTGAAGTTCACCCAGTGAAGGATTCCTATCAGGAAGAAACACATCTTTTATATACTATGTGAGTAACCCTTTTAAATACTGGTATTAGAAAAATAATAATATCTACAATTTACCTAGTAATCATTATGCACTGAGCACAGAACTAAGACACTTTCTCTCTCTCTCTCTCTCTCTCTCTCTCTCTCTCTCTCTCTCTCTCCCTCTCTCTTTTTCTATATATATCTCTCTCTCTCTCTTTTTATATATAGATATGGGTATATATGTATATACATATATATACATATAGATAGATATAGATAGTTAGATAGATGTAAAATGCATATATATTCTTTGATTTCATCTTTACATCATCACTATTAATATATATTATGTGTGTACATGTACCTCCAATTTCTTTTTTTTTTTTTTAGGCTTTCCATTTTATTTATACAAAGTGCACAGGAGGCGATTTTAACTGAAATTTAAAGAGGAGGAATTAGATTGAGCTTCAAAAGTCATGCAGTTCTTGGGTAGAAATCATTTTCCTAATTATAATGGTGCAGTTCCTTGGTCTCAGGTTCCATGTTAGAAGCCCTCAAGAAGACCATAATGCAGAGCCTGTATTTCCACCTTTTACCATCAGAATATTAAGATGCAAAGCCAGACAATCCAGTTTTAAGAGGGTCCACTGAAAAACATTCCTGACCTCTTACAATTGTCTCCTATTCTTATCCAAGTCTATCCAATCAAGTTTGTCTCCTGTTTTTTATATTTGATCTCCAATATTCTCTATAACACCGTCTCACAGAAAATCATGGTATTCCATATGGCTGAGAGTCACTTCCACTAACAAAAACATTATACAGTATTATAAATAACATCTTACATTTCTTTGCTCAGGATCCTAGATGCAAGCTTCATTCTGGGTCCAAAAAAGTTCAAAATTTCAGGAAAATCCATAAAGCTGTTAACACATCATAATTTATCCTGACACCAATGAGGATGCAAACAAATATTGGTCATGGGTTTTACAACAGCAAAATACCAGCCCTAAAAAACACATATCTGGTTTCTGGCCCTCAGATTTTTCAGTCTTCTCCATACTTCAGACTAAAAAAATTAACAATTTCATGATTATTTTTTTGAACATAAAGACCCTTTACAGTTGCTTTGCTGAATCCAACGCATTTTGATATATCCAGATTAAAGATTCTGATTCAGAATATTCTGGTTGTAACTAGAATGGTTTGGTCCAATATGAGAGAGCCAGATTGGGGTAGGGGGGAATCTTACACTCAGGAAGTAAGTCAAAGTGCTCCCTTATCTTAACACTGTCACTGTTTAGTGTGACTGATCAAAGTCTTGTTAAGATCATGCCCCATACAAAAGTGAAGGATACACTCACACTTGCTGTAAAATTCACTGTACAATACCAGTGGGCCTTTTAACATATTTCAATCATCAACAGTTCTCACTTTCACTTTAGAAAGCCTATTCCCCTCCATGTGTCTAAGACCTATAAAGTAGGTTCCTAACATATGACATACAAGTTGTTGTATGTAGAGATTTGTTTTAAGTAGAGGTGCCAAAAAACCTACTTAGACCACAAAGGAAAAGTGTTTGATAGCATTTAATGAACCTCCAGAGTTCTTGGTGGCTTTAAGCCACCAGAACACAGGCACTCCCAACACCCTTAATCTTCTCCTCAGCTCTTCTGCTAAAGAATTTGGCCTTCACGATGACAGGTAGCTTTGGGAGCTTTCCCTTCCCCAAAACTTTGTAGTAACCCGATCGGACTACATCAATTATGGGAGCAGCTCCCTCTTATTTTGGGCAGCATTTACTCGTGTCTGTTCACTGACCAATGTCCACAATTTATCAAGGTTGACAGTTGGGCAGAAACTCTGGTTCCTCTTTAAGTGGTAATGCCTCATACCAACTTTCCCAAAGTAACCTGGGTGATATTTGTCGAAGTTAATCCTGTGGTGATGCATGCCACCAGCATTACCCCGGCCTCCTGGGTGCTTCCGGTGCTTGCCAATGCGGCCGTGGCCATGGCTCACGTGTCCCCGAAGTTTCCGGGTCTTCTTCAGTCTGGATGGCATGTCGGCGGCTAAGACGAAAAAGGTGTACCTCCAATTTCCATACAAAGTTCAGAAATTTAGTAACTTGTTAAAAGTCCATAGAGTTTGTAAGTAATAAAATGAGCAGATTTTTATGATTCAAAAGGTTGTTAAAACTGCTTCTATGAATAAAGAAGTGCCTCTCTAAGAGGTTGACGGTCAGGGATAAAGTGGGAGGGATCCTTAAGAGTCTGAAAAGAGCCTTCAAAAGTCCAGGATCCCAGTTTCACATATAAGAAAACAGGTTCAGGGAATTTTCAGACTTTTCTAAGCTTACAAGCCTGGTGGGTTAATTATCAATTTAGAATGTCTCAGCTTCAAATCTGCACTTCATTGCCTGCTATTCAGTATGGCAACATATCTTATGGATTCATTTTCTAGGGCTGCCTTAACAAGTTACCACTGAATGAGTTGATTATATTATAAAAATTTATTTTCTCCTGATTCTGGTGGCTAGAAGTTTGATGCGAAGGTGTCTGCAGAGGTGGTTTCACTCCAAGGCCTCTCTCCTTGGCTTGCAGATGCCATCTTCTCCTTGTCTCTTCACGTGGTCTTTCCTCTGTGCATGTTCTAGTCTCCTCTTCTTATAAGGATCACAGCCATCTTGGATTAGGGACCATCCTAATGACTTCATTTAGCTTTAAATTACCTCTTTAAAGATTCTATCTCTGAATATAGTGCTATTCTGAGGTACTAAGAGTTGAGACTTCAACATGTATTTCAGAGGACACGATTCAGGCCCAAGACCCTTTCCATTCTTCCTTTGCAACCAGCATAGTGTTAAGTTTTGCCAGTAGGAGGTCTGAAATACTCTGAAGAAGGCATTCTGTTCCTGGTTTTGGTGGGTTCCTCTGAATTGGCCCCTATAACATACTCACTCAGCACATTTCTACAGTAACAAGATTCTACAGCCTGTGTGGCTTCTGTAGCACATGGCTCTGGTGATACTCCGTAGCACATGGCAGTTTTCCATGGATAGTGGCTACCAGCTTCTTCTTTGGAGGATTTATAAGGAACAATTGACAACATCGCACTGACTGTGAGCAGTTTCTCCCTGTCCCCTTGGGTAGCTGTACAGGTGTAGCATCTCTCCTGGAAATCTGCTTCTAGCATCACAGAAGGGAGTTAAAAGGAAAAAATGCCAATATCAATCAGTCTTAAGGTGGGAGGAATCTTCTAGATGTTTCCTTTCTTAGATAATTCTTTCTTACCCCACTTTTTTAAGAATGTTTCTACTCCCACTAGTCATTGTTCTCTTGTTACTCTAATTTCCTGTCAATAATTTCCTATATGAATTGTCTCTTCCTTAAATTATCTTTAAATTCAAAATATCATGTAGTTTCATTCTCCTGATTAGACCCCAACTAATACAAGTGGGAAGTGACAAGCCCAGTATGCAGATAATCCTATAAGCAAATATAGGACATTGTAAAAATTGTAAAGAAAAATGCAAAACTATCTTTATTTGCAGAGGACAAGATCATCTATCTAAACATTACAACAGAATGACCAGAAACAATGTTAGCAATAAAGAAAGTGTTTCATATACTTGCTGTCTTATGAAAATAAGACAAAAATTAGCATTCTTTATGTTCCCTATAAATAAAGAAAGTGAAAAAATAGCATTCTATTATTATAACAACACATTTATGAAGAATTTAAGAATTAACCTAACAAAGAACACATAAGATCATTACAAAATAGTTTTAAATAAAGTGGCATGACTAAATGGAAAGAAATATACATGTTTACAGATAACATTAATCAAATTAAGGAGGTCAATTTTCCACAGTAAAGTTCAGTAACATTCCATTCATAACCTAGGCATAATGCATTCACTAGACTTCCATAGCTCTATAATACTAGCAATTAAAATCGTCTCACCAACTCCCCTTACTCCAATTCTATTCCTACCATCAACTATCTGATTATCTTTGTTTTCCATGTGATTTGCCTTTAGGAGAAGTGTACTGAACTATGAACTTCTCTGTCTAGTCCAATTTGTTCATTGTTAATTTTTAAATTGGCATTAAATTTTACATATTCATATTTCTAAGATTGCTTCCCATTCTGAATTGCAATGACTAAATGATGTTTTCCATCACTATGGATATATAGAGCTCTGTCTCACTAATTGCCTTCAAATTGTAACAAATAGCATAATGAATATTTGTTTCATTAAAGTATAAAGAAGATAAGAGCAAAAGATAGAGCAAAGAATATTGAGTATCTTAACACTAATTCCATTGCTATATACCTCAAACACACATAAAATTAAGTTTTATAGCATAATAAGAGTTATGCAGCTATTAGGTTAAAAAAATCTTCTATCATATGAATTTGTGTTTTAGAATTACACTGACTATTGTGGAAAACATGATCACATTGCCTAGACATTTGATAAGACATATTTCACTTTCTGCCCCTTCTGGCACTGAACAATGAAGAAGCAAAAAAAAAAAGTTCTGAAAGGATGACTTACTTGAAGAAAATTGCCCATGCTGCATTATTAATAGGCATACATTTCTCTCTTGACATTATTGCCTCCTTTAATCATTCTATTTATTAAAAAATATTTTTACAGTTCCACCCTCCATTGGTTCTCTTTCATCTTGGCTTGTGAGTGCTGGTGGGGGTAGCTCAGTTGTAGAGCACTTCCTTGCAGATACAAGGTCCTGGGTTTGATCCCTGGCACTGCAAAATAAATAAATAAATAATCCCAAATCTTGGCTTCCATAAAATCTTTAAAGTCATGTTCTTATTAATGCTTTCCACATATTAGCCTATTTCACTTTTTGAAATTAAAAAATATATATATACAAATAATATCAAGCATGCTTTTGGCACTTCTACATTTGGAAGCTAACAAATGAAGTTCAAGATAACAAACTGCCAGAGACTGCAGGAAAAACAGATAGCAAACACTTGAGTGTGCCAAAGCAAGTTGTTTGCCATCAGTCACATTGACATAATGTGCATACACTGAGAGAGGCATAGCTGCATCTTGCTAAATAATTCCAGGAAAGGGGGTAATCACTTAATAGAACAATTAGTGGGGCATTTTTTTTCAAGCTATTTGAAGATTGATTTAAAAGTGACTTCTTAGTTTGAGCCATTTGCCCTCAGATTTTCTAGCACACTTAGAGAAATAAGAATAGACATGCAGTTTAGTGAGTGAGGATAAAAAGACAGAGTTGTGCTTTTCTTTTGTGATCTATGAGATAAACCCTGATCGATATAAAGATAGCAAATGGATTATTGGCATATGTTCACATGAGAAAAATACAATTTTCCAAGGCAGGCCCTGGGTTTAATCCCCAGTACAGAGAGAGAGAGAGAGAGAGAGAGAGAAATACAGTTTTCCTCTACAAGAAATTTTGTAATAAAAATTTGAAGTTTTAATTTAAGGAAATCTAAGCACATTGTCTTTCTCCTCTTTGTCAAAATATGTATGGGCTAACTTAAAAGAGTTCTTGCAAATAAGAAAAAGATGAAAGAACAGCAAAACTGTCTTATATCCTATTCTGAAGTGAAAATACTCATCTTGAAGGCCAAGTTTGGTAGTGGTAGATGGTCCTGATATTATTATAGATCATTCTGGGTGAACTGGAAGTTTCTCAGAAGAGCCTTTGCATCATAGGATGAATCAAAGACATTTTTATTCAATCAGCAACTTGCCACTGTAGTATGGCATACAAGCTTAGGGTAAACAAAAATAGACATGTAGAAGCTTTGTCTTATCATGATAAAATAATATATAATCAGAAAATAATGGATGTTACATGACAGAAATTTTCTTAATTTACAGAGTATTAACATTCTCAACTGACCGATTTAAAACTAAACAGCTAAAATTCTGTCTAGATATGTCATGCATTGTAAACTCATCATGCTGCAAATTGAATTAACCTCATTTTTAATTTGAAATTTTATGACTTAATAAGACAATATGACTTCTTCCTCTCCCCTTTCCTACTCCCCTTTTCAGAAAATATAATTCATATAATAATAAACCAAAGACTAACTATTTCTGGTAACTGTGTACAAGAAAATCAACTTTTATCAAATATTTTTACTTCTGCTTTCGGAATGGACATTACTCAGCAAGTAATTTTGCAAAATATTCCATCAACATGACTGAGCACCTTCCCTCTTCCATATCTGTATAATATGAAATTCCCAAGTCTCTGCTCATAGCATCTTTATAGTGACTTTCCTTTTAAGCCAGGATTTTTATTGACAATAGTAGAACCCAAAGCATGTAACTGAAATGCTTGAAAAGAGTAGACTTTTGTTTTTATCCTAATGATTTTTATACAATTGATCATAAACAGGGTAATCACTGCATTACAATATATTGCTCCACAAATAGAGTATTTAAAACTGATTTATACCCAAAGGAGTCAACAAGAGATTAAAAAGAGGTATCCATTTGTGAATTCAGAGAATCAACTGTAAGTAGGATTCTTTTGTTCTTTCCTTAAAACTGCCACCCACGAGTTATAATTTCCTGTCTCTGAAAAAGCACCAGCATCCACAAGTACACACAAATACACACACAAAAGTTATAGGAATTCCATTTTTACTGGCCCTGGAATTGTTTTCATTTAAATTCTATAATATTCTACACAGTTACATGATATGTCCTTTTTTTTGACCTTAATTTTTTTCCATATTATTTCACAGTGAAATATTTACAACATTCTAAGATTTTAAAAAATAAAACAAAAACAAGAAACTTGATCTTCCTCAAAATTAATTCCATATTATGGAGAGTTGAGAAAAAAAACATCACATTTAGCAAGGCCAAATTTATTACAATTTATTTTATTTTCCACTTTGCAGATCACTGCTCAGTAGAAAAGGAAATTTGTAATCCTCAGAACTCCACAAACACAGATCAAAATATTGGCAAAAAGAATTCTCAAAAAATAGTCAGTCTTGTTATCTTATAATTTGTAAGCTATCTTTTTAAAATTACTTCAGCATCACAGAAATTAAATTATTAAATAATTA